CCTTCTTCGCGGGTTGTTGCAGAAAGATCGCAGATTTCAATGAACAGCTTTCCTGTTAATCAGCATGTAGAAAATTGAAAGCTGAAGTGTGCAGTGACCATGTTTTAGTACCGTTTTACCAAATTTGCCTACTGTGCTGATGTTTGATGCCAGTCCAGTTAAAATCGCAATACTCAGCCATATCGTTAATGGAGAGAAACCTATTGCCTATGTGGCCTGTTACTGTGAATGATCGAAATTGATGGATGTTTACTCTCATCTATTAAAATGTTGACTATCACATAGTCGCTTTGGTAAATGTCCGAAATATATACTAGGTGTAGTTAAGTGCCACTGCACTGTACTCCGAATACTGATGTTTCTCCTCGTCAACGCTCAGCAGATATTAAAATATCGTATAATATAATAATATCGACGAATAGAGTCGCAATGGATCAGGAGATATAATAACTTAATTACTAAATCCCAACTAACTAAATTAAGATTAAGAATTATTTTATTTATTGAATTAAATTAATATTAAATAATTAAAAAATGAATGTTCGATACATTATTTGCACCAGCAATAAAACAATCTTGTGGGACATCTATTCTCCGTTTCGAACCAGCATAGCGCAGCGCATGAGTCATTTGTTTTTTTCCTCTAGCTTATTGAAACCATTTGGCGTTTGGTTCTGACTCATTTAAGCAGTTCGGCTAAAATTTGTTTCATAAATTTCTTATTTCTGGGAACGGCTTGTTTATTTCGAATAGAACTTTTTTTTGACTATCGAGCAATAAATTTGCTGTTTTATTTTCATCAAATTTTGGCTAGAGAAGAACTGGCCTTCAAGAATTACTTATTCATTGGATCTATTTTTAGATTTTAGCTCGGGGTGAATACTATGTTCTGAACTATTGGACGGATAGGCGTCAATTTGATATTCGTATTCGCTCATTAATTTTAAATCGAAAGTGTTTTGTTTAATTTTTTGTATTGTACAAAGAGGAAAATCATTAGAATGAGAGGAAATTATGTATTATTTTTTTAAATTCGAGTGTATTCTCATTTTTCTTTAACAGGATCCTCAAAAATATTAGGGGGATTATTAAATCGCAATAAAGATTTTGGCAAACAGCAGCAATTACTGTTACAGGATTTTCTAAGACCCACTCCTATAACTCTGACTCATTCTAGCCATTTGGCGAAAACTGAAGTGCATGCTCTTTTAATATGAATGTTTGATATGACTAGTGTTTTTATGATAGTTTTCGTTCACTTCCTTTCAGTGTTTTTTCCCCAGGATTAGATTTCATTGTTTCTTTGGACAGGTACGTGCGCGAGTTAGTTCTTTACAGAAATTATTTATTAATTTTGAGAAATAGTTTATTTTCTTTCATCATTTGTATTGTGCTGTCGCCAACAATGTCGTTTACCAAAAAAGTATCGTCCATACAGTGCCACGTACTTGAAGTTCGGATTTATTCAATCGCTTTCGAACTCTCAACTACCCGTGTGTTTACTTTGTAGCCAAGTTTTATCGAATGAGGCAATGAAACATTACCGTTTGCAAGAGCTTTTGCAAAAAAATTGATCCTGACAAACAAAATGAAGATTTCTAATTTTTCACGAACATCAAGGACAAGTTTCTGAAGGCACCACAGGTCTCAGGCTTACTATTAACCTCGTCACAAAAATGCGACGGTGGTTTTAATAGGCTCTTATAATATATCAAAATTAATTGCTAAATCTGGGAAAGCTCATACCATCGGCGAAGAGTTTATACAGTTTTACACCATCCAGTCGCATCCAATGTAATAAAAAAATATCCCGTTAATCAACGATACAGTGCGGTGACAAATTGATAAGATGGCGGAAGATGTTGAAGCTTCCTTATACAAATTTTTGATATCCAACGAATTTTCTCAAGTTATGGAGTCAACCTGGCCAAGTAATGAGGCTTTACTGTTGTCCGATTGGTTGAGGAAGGAAAAATTGTTCAAGAGATGCTTTCTGCAAGAAGCTTGATTGTAGATACCAAAGTTGAATCTATTTTGACACTGTCAAAGATTATTTTAAAGAGAAAAATATTCTTCTTGCGAATATTATCTCTGTTGCCACTGATGGAGCTCCTGCAATGGTTGGTCAACATCGTGGGTTTATCGCCTTTTTTAAGAGGGAGGTACCAGGTTTTTAAGCTGTTCACTGCGTAATCCACAGACAGCATTTAGTTTGAAAAAATCTCAGCTACCGCTTGCATCGGTCATTGCATTACGCCATCTCTGCTGTGAACAAAATTCGCGGTAATGCTCTGAACGATCGATTATTCAGACAGCTGTGTTAGAAACACGATAAAAAATTCAATCGTTTGCTACTGCACACTGAGATTCGCTAACTTTCCAAAGGCGCCTGTCTCAATAGGTTTTGGAATCTCTTCGATGTATCTCTGAGAGACAGATTGCTTGAATTCAAGATAGACGTCGCATACATGACTGGTTTATTTCCAAAATTTAATGGTGTCAATTTACAACTTCAAGGCGACGAACTTAATTTGATCACGACAAAATCAGTTATTTCTCCCTTTCTTACACTCATTTCGTGGAAACAGAATATTGGTAGCCAATGAGTTTAGCCAATTTCCAATCTTATATGATCTTAAAAAGAACAGTGAAATTCCCTCTAATGATGCACAAGAAAATTGTCAACACCTTGAGTCTTTGCACATGAACTTTTCTAATCGTTTTAAAGATGTGTTGACCCTGGAAGTCCTTCAATGGGGTTATGAACCCTTTCGTGAATATTGAAACAGCAGAGGTTCATATTCGGGAGGAATTGGTCGAACTTTCAACTAATGAAACTTTGCTTCAAGAATGGTGATCGTCTCGCAGAATTTTGGCTTCAAAATAACATCAATCGCCCTCTACCCTGGACTATGGGCAATCGTCAAAAGATTTTTAATTACCATCCCTTCCTCCCCACCTTGTGGAGCGAGGATTAAGTGACTAGGATCTAGTCACAAAAAAGAGAAATCGACTCGAAATCTTGCGTCTTGACCTAACTAAAAATATTGAACAGAATGTTAAGAAACTGGCTCTGAACCATCAAGCACAATCCACCCACTGACATAGTCACTGATTGCTTCGTTAATACCACGTTTTGTATTAATGTAAAAAAAATATTTTCGAATGTTTTTTTTTAATTAAGTTTAAATAACCCTTTTTAGCATAGGTTTCTTTGTTTTTACATTTTCTTATTTATTTTGATCATAACAAGTAGACTGCGATTACCTGCCGGTAAAAAAGTACACAGTTAACGTTCACACTATTTTTTTTAAAACCAAACCTATTTAACGCGTAAGAAAATTGCTTGAAAATGCTGCCTCTTATAATTCAGCTCACCGTAGGACAGGTGTTGGCTCTGGGCAGTGAGAAAAGGGGAGCTTTTTCATCGTTCTATTGTGCTATCCCTAGAGCGAAGAGAATCTACCCTTCTTGAAATGCGCTATTCTTGTTTCCATAGCAGCGGACTGCCTCAGACTTTGTGGCAGGAGGAGTTCGCACCATAGACAAACTATATGTTCACTCCTAGTGGGGAAGAGTTAAAGTACGTAGTATGTATCAAAACAATGCTAAAGTGTGGAAATTAGGAATTTTAACTCTCAGACTAGGATTGCGCCAGTACATCGTTAAACTGGATTCAGGGCGTACTCTTAAGGCCTACATTAGCCAGCTGAATTCTGCTCGAGTACGTTTACCATATATCCATACCAATTCTTCATATCTGAGTTCAGAAACTCCGAAATGGTATTTTCAATGTTCCTACTCCACTATGGCAGACGCAAGTACAAGTGTCCTAAGATTGAACCCACAATTTTACCACGTCGTTCTGAACGCAATTGACGATTACCTGTATATGTCAGAAATTATCATTCATATTCAACTTTATGTCACTTCCAATCTTAGTGGGGGAGAATAATTATAACTTAACCGTAACTGTAATGCGTTCTGCTATCTCAGTATAGTCCTTTTTTCTAATTAAAGATTAATGTTGTGTTTTCTTATTGTCAGATATTATTTCTTATATTCTCAGATATTATTTCTTATATTATCACATTATTCCATTCTCATAATTAATTCCCAAAGATACACTAGTACAAACCAAGTACTTGTTAATTGCAAATGTGAATGCATTGCAAATTCTCATGTATCAATTTCATTTTTGTTGATTAACAAACAAAAAATTCTTGTTTCCTCGATAAAATTTTCTTTTTACAAGTTAAACAAATTGTCTGTTTAGGACTAGTCAAACAACTTTAAATTTTATTGTTTCAAAATTGTCAATTTTTAGTCGACTACTCCCTGTGGTTAAGGTAATTTTCTATTGTCACTTTGATGATTTTTCATGACTATTCCACTGAGCTTGTTTAACATGCTGGCCATAATAACAGCTTACAAGCCTCAATTGGATGTGTTGTTAACCAACTGGAGATACTACTTTTTTTTATTACTTGAAAATAACAAAAACATTTAAACGTAAACAAGTCCCCCCCTTTAATTAATTCCTATTCCAATATAGAAATATCACATAAAATTTCTTCTTAAACATAGGTAAAACTAATGAAAATTGGGTGAAACATTCTTTTTTAAGTGTACATGTTACTGTGAATGACTGAAAATAGTGGCAGTCGACTTCCACCGGTGAATGTTGACAATCACGTAGTCTCTTCGATGAATGTGCCACTGCCCTTTATACAATCGCCAGGTATGCCCGACATCAATGTTTTTTTAAGGTCAAGTGCCGATGACCAGTATGCCTGTACTCCGAACACTGATGTTTCTCCTAATCCTATCCTCATCAGATATTAAAATATAAAATAAATATATCAATGAATATAGTAATAGAAAGTCGGATGTTACAATTATTTCTGACATTCACCAAATCGATTATGTGATTCTCGACATTTACCGGTGAAAGTAGACATTCACGTGATGTCGGTCAGACACGGTAATATATTTTTATAGTGTGTTGTCATTTATGTGTGGTGACCAGATTCTGTTGCAGAACAAACTGGTTGTTCACACTTAAATGCCAGTTTTTCTTTTTCTTGAACAAGTAACTGCCGAATTCTTGTTCTATTCTAGGTCTTATATTGGAGCAGACATATGTGGTGTGGCATGAACAGAAGCCCAAACTGGATTCTCACTGACCCTTATAGTGGAACTTCTATATAATGGAACTCCCACATGATCTACAAAAAAGGAACTACAAGTAACCATTAATTTTTTTTTCCTCGTCTTATGTTATAGTTGAATTTCTAACACGGACTTGCCCGTATCCATACTGTGTTCGACTTTCAATCCGTAAAAAGATTGACGTGTATCAACAAACTTGTATTCTAATTTTAAAATTCCTCATTGTAATGGAGTGGCTTTTGTATCCGGATTCACTTCTAAACTGACATCCGCTCAATTTTTTCAAAATTATCCTCCTTTGAAGTCTTGCAGTGGACTGATTGTAAAGACACTGTTCCCAGTAGAACAGCGAAGTCGAGCTTCTCTGGCTGCGGTCAATGTGCGGGTGGGTGACCACTTTGATCTACTCGTGAAGGGACCGAGGGTGTGAGGCATCAATGTACATTAAATTGTTCTACCGAAAAGTGCTAGACTTCACGAGCAGTTCGTCGTACCTACCAAAGTGGAGGAGTCATCCCCTCTGCAGAGCATCAGAATTGTGATGGCATGTCTTCGGATCATCCTTAGAGATGTTATCCAGACAACCGCCTATAGCCCATTGTGTAGTTCTAGTGCGACGTAAAGTACCTACCTACTTCCTTCGTCGAAAAATTTTGGTGGCGAACTGGAGTGGGATGTCATAGTGACTTGTGATAGTTTTGGCGATTTCGTTCGTGTTTAGTAAATCTAATTTTCTGTATTTCGGGTCAAAATTTTAATTAAAAATTTTCTTGATTTGACTTTAATTTGAACCTTTTCCCTTTTTTTTAATGTATTTTTCACTGTGTTTCTGTGAGTAGATTACTTTTTTTCTACTTCCGAGTTTTTTTAAGACTAGGATAAGAACCCTTCCCTTTTTCTTTCTTCAATCTCCATTTTTGATTTTGTTCTTTTATTGCTTTGTTTGGTCATTCCAACCTTTAACTTCAGTACAGTTTTCGACAATCCGCAACAAGTCCTCTGCTATTCTAGAACTGAAATATTTTTGTGGTAAGAAGAGTTATAGATTTTTGTTTACGATTCAATGAATTAATGAGTCTGACATTAGTATTGAAATAAAAAGTTAACCTTTACATTGATTGTTAAGAAAAAGAATAAAACATTTTATATTCGCCTTTCTTATAAATTGTAATAAAAATTAAATAATTTAATAAGGAATGATTGAAAGAAAGAAATTTAAGAAAATAAATAAATTTTAAAAGCTAGGAAATACTAAGTAATGCCTATTGTGGAATCACAGATCCAGATGCCACCAGAATCATTTAATTAAAGAATGAATTTTAATCGTTCATGAATGCTATTAGTTCGCTTCTGAATAACGAACTATTATCTGAATTGCGTCTTGATATAAAAAAATTCTTTTAATAAAAGCCTGTAACTATGATTCCGACTGTATCATTATTGTTAGAGTTTTAAGCAAATAATTTCTAAAAGATCTTTATGATAGAGCAAATCAATAGGAACATTACGCTTAACAACTGTAATCTGAAAGCATTGTCATAACTGACAATGAATGTTAAAGTACTCTGTTGTAATGTGTTGTAAAAAAATACTCATTTTGCAACAATGTTAGTGCTATTGTTACCGTAGTAACAATGAATGATGTGATAAAAGATATTTTTAATTATTAAAAAGTGTCATTTGTTCTTGAACTCTTGAGAATATTGGCTGAATTTTTCGTAGAAAGAATTCATTTTGATTAAAAAAAAATGTCTAAACTGTTTAGATATATTTGAGGTAAGCGAAGAGTTGATTCAAAATTTCGGCCTTGATCGGTAGTTATAGTAACGGGAGTGCCAAATCTAGAGATCCAACCGTGAATAAGTGCTTTTGCGGTGGTCTCGGCAGTCATATCCGTAGTAGGGATAACTTCTGGCCATCTCGTGAATCTATCTATTATTGTAAGGCAGTATTGCTTACCTTCAGAAATAGGAAGTGGGCCAATAAAATCCAGATGGATATGGGAAAATCTTGCGTCGGGTTGAGCAAATGTACTAAAAGGAGCTTTAGTGTGTTGAAAAACTTTAGCTCGCTGACATTTCTCACAAGAACGAACTTTATTTTTGATATCCACTTTCATGTTGGGCCACACAAATCGTTTAGAAATTAAATTCGTAGTTGAATATATTCCAGGATGAGAAAAATAATGTAAATTATCAAAAATAATTTGCCTGTATGATTTTGGAATAAAAGGTCTAGGATACTTAGTTGAAAAATCACATATTAAATTAACATCTTCCAAAGAAAAGTAATGTTTTTCTAATTTTAAAGATGAATTATTTGAATTTAATATTTCTTT